TGTGAAATGATAATTAGATTTCACTAATTTCTTTTAAATATTTATTATTGCTTTATGCATAACATATTATAACACTAACACTTTGTAAGGTTTGACAATACAACATAGACCTAGTAATTGGTCATGGCCTGAGGAGATTATTCGAGGCGAGTTTGAGTAACTCGGCTCTATTAGTGCCGACTACTATAGCAACAAAACAAAGGTTAACAAATTATAAAAAAATATAAAAATCCAAAAAATAAATAATGTATTTTTAAAGTAAGATTACACAAAACACCTAAAAATAATATTAAAAAATAGTAAAAATATAGATTTTAAAAAAGATTGGGGTATTCTTTGAAATAATTCAGAAAGATAGGAAATAAAAATAAGTATTTATGGCCAAATGATTTTCGAATCTTTTCCAAAATGACAGAAAACAAAAACATATCCCAAATAAATTTCAAATTTTTTATGATTTTATTTTATTTTAAATTTTTTTTTAATGTCCCCAAGTTGGATACCTAACTTTGGACAACTAGGGCTCAGCAATTGGCTAAGCCCAAATAACTCGGCCGAGTAGAAACTACTAGGCCGATTTTTCAATCATTGTTTTTTACCTTTAAGCCATTAATCTCTCTCTCGATCCCTCAAATTTCTCTCAAATCCCTTCTTCAGTAGAGTTAATGTCACCCATCTTTCTCTTATCTTACCTTGGGTGAAGAAAACGGAATGGCAACAAAATCATACTACTCTATCTTATCTTGCCTTGGAAAGGCAAAGAAATCCTACCGTAAATGTATCATTTGTTGTGCTCCGTTATAATCCATGTCCTAGGTCCATTTTTTGTTTGTTTTTTGTTTTTTTTCTTTCATTATCTGGTGTTTAGAGACATTATGTCTAATATGTTGAATCACTTCCATTAGAGAGTACTGAATTGTGCTTCTTTGCTGATTTTTTTTATCGTATATGTTGTTATATTGCCTAAGTGAGTTTTTGACAGCCTTCACAAAACTAATCTTTTAAATTTCCTATTTTCATGAATTTGAAATTTACTTTCATATTTGTTGATGTTTAGTTTGATGAATGTTTCTTATTGAGATTGACCAAGTTTGCATATTTGATATTGTTGAAATATGTATATCGTATTTTTGATGTCTATTCTTTTTTGTTTTACTTTATTTAGCCTTATTATTTTTTAAATTTTACAACTTACTCTAGAACTTAAATCCCTTTGACACACATATATATTTGATTCTCTCCACGGGATGTGCTTTATACTATTTACAAATTGATTATTTCATTTTTACGTGCAACATACGTAATTCAACTAATAAATATAAAAAGTGGGGTCATTTGTTTCTCAAAAGAGATATAGACAATTTTTCCATTATATTTATTAGAGACTTTTAGTACCACATCGTAAATCTGCTTCAAGTGCTAAGGGGTCACGGGTATAAAAGGGATACACATTTTAAAGTGATAGTGTCGGGTCTCGAGTCCGACATTACTTGTCAGGTACGGGTAAAGGTATAGTTAAATTGGACGCGTCGAGTAAGGGTGGGTCCAAGTGCATGTAGTTATTTTGGGTTGGTATGGGTACGGGTCTAGATAGACTTGACCCAAACCCGACCCATTGAAACCCCTTATTCTCAGGCCATCCTAAGAATTATTTTTAACACCAAATTATTTATTATGATAAAATTTGGAGTTGCGCCTTGTTTTGACACCCTTCATAAATAGTCTATGACTAATTTTGACTTTTTTATTTTTAAATTACTGAATCCTTCTTTTTAAAAAAAAAATGTGTTCATTTTGTTTTCCATTTCCAAATATTTTTATACTTTATTTTTCAACTTAACAATATTTTCTCTACTCTGTTTTCTTCTTCCAATATTTTTAAAGTTTATTTTCTTATTAGAATCTTTAAAGAAGATTATTTTTGTGATTTACATCTTTTTTATTTCATTAGTGGTCAGCTAACCTATTTTCTATGGATTTTATAATATTTAAATAAAATTATTTTTTCAACAATACTTCATGCTTTAAAAACATTTTATCATACAAAATTAAATGTAATAATTTTTTAAATACTTCAGAAAATCTATACCCATTTCTCTACAGAAAACCAATTTCCAAACTTCTCATAACAATTTCATTTTGTGATTGATAAAATATATGAATCATGAAGTTTCTTCCTTTTATTGTTATTACTGGGATAACTTCACATTTTTTAATGAATTTTTATGCTTTTATAAATCAGTTGTAATAAGATTCTATATTTTAATATAGAATTATTCAATATGATCAAATATTCATTTTAGAGAGAGAAATATTGTTGACACGTATGGCTATAAGGCCTTACATGTCTTAGTCTACAATTATGGGAATCCAATGTTAATTATAATTATCTAAAAAAATTTATATCCAACGTTCATATAGTCCAATGTCTATATGGACGTTGGACCATATGAACGTTGGATATAATTTTTTTTCGATAATTATAGTGAACATTGAATTCCCACAATTATAAGCTTAGACACATAAGGCCTTATAATCATACATGTCAACAAATAGTACAATTTAAAGGTAAATAGTTCGTTTTGGTGCTAAGTTTTATCCTTTAAGATTTCGTCTTACAACTTTTAAGTATTTATTACACGAATTTGATGTATATATACTATCTTATCAATTCCATATCTCGGCAAAAATATTACAAGGATAAAGCATCAAAATACCCCCCTCTCTCTTAACACTCTCTCTTTCCAAATACAAGGACGAGTAGAATCAAGAAACTTTGTAAATACAAGTAGAATCAAGAAACCGTACGAATATGAAAAAGAGAGAGGATTATGGGTTGAATTTGGATTTTTTTTCAACCATGTGAATAGGCATAGTGCTTTACCTGTTGGACGAAATTCACATTTAGTTTATGCAGAAACACCGAATACGCACCAAACTCTTATTAAGCTGGACCCGAGAGGATTCCTTACGAGAGGATTCTTTACTGGAGCGCTCTCCCTATCGCATTTGAAATAAATCAATAAGTACCATGAATCGTAATTAAAATAAAGGAAAAATATCTCTATAGATTTCATTTTTAATTTTTATTTCTATTTAAACTTAAAATTTCAAAACATATCTTCTAACCGCCCAAATAACTTTATCTACTTTTATTCCAACTTTTAATCCAAACAAATTAAGAAAGACTATTTTTTCTAACTCTCTCTCTCCTCACGTTGAACAATACTCCTGGCGACCTTGGGGCTCAAGCTGTGTCCCCTGATGTGAGAGAGAGTGCATGGGCTTTCTCTTTTATGGCAAGCACCCCTGGTTTCAAAGACGATGTCTCTGCGAAAGGAGTGCTCAAGTGCTATAAAGGCTTGACGACTGTGCGCTCGAAGGCCATTAAAGGTAAGGGAGCTTGGTATTGAGCTCATCTCGAGCCCATCCTGGTTCAAAACCAGGACACTGGTGCACCCAAAGGAATCTGTTGTGACTACTTATCTTTAAACCGCAAGGATCTTACGCTAATATCTCCAAGATAAAATATTCTTCTTGATAATATATCATTTTTTAAAATTTAAATGATAAGTATACAACACTTGATCCTTATCTAAAAGAAAAATAAATAACAACAACAAAGCGATCAATATATGCTGTCGTAGATTAAAGAGGTATGAATAGGAGAGAGGGAGAGAGTAGCCATTGAGATTTAGCGTTATTCTTGATTTTTGTTGTTTTGGTTTATTCCCAAGAAGCATACCCCATGTATATATAAAATATATAGATACATAAAGAGTGTGGTTTGTATAAGGTTGAGGCTCTAAACAATCAAAGTAAAGCACACCTTCAAATAATATCGAGAAATATCGTTTCAATACTGGAAATCTTTGTTATAGCCTTAAAACATATTTTCATCTTTAATTATAAAATTTAAAGCTTCAAAAATAGGGTAGATCAAGATGATCTATGAAAACTTGAAAATCTTGAAAATTGACGGTAAAAGATTGTTTTACAAGATGCACTATTTCCAAAACTTGAAACCTATTTTTTTTTCATTTCCATGCATCTTGAGGTCGCGATGATCACTTTGAGGATATTTGGGGATCAAAACAACATCTTCTAGTGAAATTTTTAAGGTGTGCCGTAATTTGATTGTTTTGAGCCACTTGCATGAACTTTTTCCATACATAAAAGGCCCTTACACATTACAGATTCATTTCCCTTTGGTTAGAGAGAGACACAAGACCAAACCAATAGTTAAAGAGAGAGAGAGACAGGGAAAAGGAGAATTTGCATTCCTCAAAGGTTGTCTTTGAGGTATGTTCATCTTATAAAACCCATGGGTTAGCAGACGAAATTTGAATATCTGTTATTCCCATTTATGTCTTTCTTGTACCATCTTCATTTTTTTTTTTTTTGTTAATCTGAAATGCGATTAATTCCTATAAGGTTTTTGCTTTGTTGCCGTTGTTTTTTACACCATCAAATTTCAACATTCTTTTGTGTTTGGTTTTTACATAATATTTGTTTCTTGGGAATCGTAGACGCTTTGACCCGATCACATTCCGGCCATCATATTGTTGGACTTCCAGATTTTGGCGATCTTTCAAGATATTAAGAAGAAGAATCTTTAAGTCAGTTGCCTTAATTATATGTTTACTCGTACTCATTGTGACTATCATAATCACTGCACTCGCAGGGAAATGAGTCACAAACCTTAAACCTTTTTCAAGTAACCAAGATGAAATTTATGGTAACCCACTTGCCGTTCTACGGTCTTCTACACTCTAGCTTTAAATCTGAAGCACTATCTATCAAAACCCAGAGTGAGATCACCACCTTACCTTGCACACGATCCCCAAACATGATCATGCTTACCAACTTAGCATGAGTTCTCCATGTCCTTCCTAAATAAGTTGACAAATCCCTTCACTCATGTGTAGTTGAAGCCTGCCATGAGCACTTATCATGTTCTTCCTTTTGGACATTGGCATGTGTTGAAAAAATTGATAATTTTAGAATACTGCTACTGCATTGCCGAAGATGAAGTCAATAGTGCCGTAGATGTGACAGTCTCTATAGAACTGGTGGACGGAGTGGGCGTAGAGGGTGTCCTAGTAGGCTGAGATATTGAGCCTCAAGAAAGCAGTGAAGTTCGATTGGACATGGAGAGCTACTGCGTGGTGCTTGGTTGGGCCGACGGTTTTGACAACAACAAGGTTATGGGCAATGAAGCCATCACATAATACAACTCCAATGCAAGTCATGAAATGTAAGCTTAAGAATGCCTTGTGATTAGGGAATTGTGTTCATTAATATAAAAGTAAATAGAGCGACAAAAACAGTAAGTGAGAGAGAGGCACAGTCTATATGACCATTTACTAAAAAGCACAGAGATAGAGGTCACCAACATAAAACATAAAGAAAGAGACTCACATAGTGTTGAAGAGTTAATGAGTTGAAGGTGGAGAATTCATCTAGAACATTCATACTCCCTATGATCACAATCTTCTCCATCCCCTCCGCTATCATCATAATATTTATCTTCTCTCTCCTCACCTCCACATTTTCTATGTAAACCCCTTCTCTTACTAAAATCACCCACTTCTCTTCCTCTCTAGCCCAATGTGGGGCCTCTATTACTGCGTCAGTTATCGTTGTATAATCCTCACTACAATCCTTTGCCACCTCCATGTTAACCCCGACTTTGTCCTAATGTGAAACACTCTCGGCGACCCACGATAATAAACCTTTTCTCAGGTTGTTGGAAAATTTCTCCTGTGGGGTTCCCATAGGTCTCCATCATGTTCTTGACAATGTCAAGAGAGTTACTGAGCATATAGATTATGGGCACAAGTACTTGGCCAGCCCTTCTTATGAGACCTTCTATAAATCTTGCTCGAGAAATCCCGGACTTGAGATCTTCCGTGAATCTTGCTCAAGAAATCCTGGTCAGACACGTGTCTTAATTGGTCATGGCTACATGAGAAGGGCTTTCAGGTTTGATGGAAAACATGGTACTCGTTTGTTGAGAAGTGGCTTTTCGATAAGTAGATGGGGTTGTAGGGCGAGAAATGGTGGAGCAGATGGTAAGCAAAGCGGAGCAGGAATAGGGTATGATCAACAAGACGGAGGTAGTCTTTGTAGATCCCTCTTTGTCGATAATTTATATTTTATCGATCTTTTTGTTGGAAAGTCAGATTCGAACTATGAAAGTCCTCAAAAACATTAATGACATCTTTTAGAGTTAGTTCGATAATCTCACTCTGGGTTTTGGCATATAGTGCTTCAGACTTTGAAGCTAGAGTGTAGAAGCAAAACTTCGGATGAGGGGTGCCATTACATGACAACCATAGAGTGGTAAGTGGGTCACTAGATACTTCATCCTGGTTACTTGATATCCGTAGAACAACAAGTGGGTCATTGGAAATTTGATCTTGGTCACTTGCTGGGAAATGCAGTCACTGACATTTTTCAAGTCACCAGGATGAAATTTCCAGTGACCCACTTGCCGTTCTACGGATATCAAGTGCCCAAGACGAAATATCCAGTGACCCACTTGCCGTTCTACGGTCATCATGTAATAACACACCTTATCCGCAATTTTGCTTATACGCTCTAGCTTTAAAGTCTGAAGCACTATCTGCCAAAACCCAGAGTCAGATTGTCTGACTAACCCTAAAAGAGGCCATTAATTCTTTTGAGGACCGTCATGGACTTTTCTACAAAAAGATCGAGAAATCATGAATTCACGACAAAGAGGTCTTGTTGACTATACCTTATTCTACCTCCACTCTGCTTACCATCTACTCCACATTCTCTTGCACGAAAACGACATCTACTTGTCGGAAAGCCTCTACTCAATAGACGAGTACCACATTTTCCAACCAATTCCACCAAACCTGAAAGCCCTTCTCAGTGCAGCCATGATCAATCAAGATACATGTCGGACCCGGATTTCTCGAGCAAGATTCACAGACGATCTTAGGAGAATGGCTAGCCAAGTACTCGTGCCCATAATCCGTATGCTCAGAAACTCTCTCGCCATGGTCAAGAACATGACGGAGACCTACGAGAATCCCACAGGAAAAAAATTTCAATAAGTTAAGAAAGATTTATTATCATGGATCGATAGGAGAGTAAGGGGTTAACGTGGTAGTGGCAAAGGATGGGAGTGGGGATTATACAACGATAACTGATGCGGTGAAAGAGTCCCCAAATGGGACGAGAGAGGGAGAGAAGTGTCTGACTTTAGTGAGTGCAGGGGTCTATAGGGAGAATGTGGAGGTGGGAAGAGAGAAGACAAATATTATGTTGATAGGGGAATGGAGAAGACTGTGATCACAAGGACCAATAATGTTGTGGATGGATTCTCCACCTTCAAATCAACACTATATGAGTTTTTATCTCTATGTTTTATGTTCGTGCTTACTCTCTCTCTCTCTCTTTGTGCTTTTTAATAAATGATCTTGTAGACTATGCCTCTTTCTCACCTAACGTTTCTATCTCTCTAGTTACTTTTTATGTTAATGAACGCAACTCCCTAATCATAAGGCATTCTTAAGCGTAGATTTCATTGTCCACATTGCAGTTGTATTTAGTAACGGTTTTATGGCCCGCGATCTATCCATTGTCAATACCACCGGTCCCATCAAGCACCAGGCAGTATCCCTCCATGTCCAATCGAACTTTGCTGCTTCCTTTGACGCTCAATACAGCGGCCTTCTAGAACACCCTCTACGCCCACTCCCTCTACCAATGATATAGAGACTGTCATATCTACGACATTGTTGACTTTGTAATGCGGTCGTAATATCCCTCAACTATCAAATTTTTCCATGCAGATCGATGGCCAAACAACAGAACATGATAACAACTAATGGCAGGTTTGAAGCCATACAGGATACAAGATTTGTCTTTCAGAATTGTACCATCAAGCTGCTCTTGACCCAAAGCTAGTGAAGGGCAATTTCTTAACTTATTTTTGGGGGATGTCGTGAGCAAGGAAGGGTGGCATCCATGGGGGATAGAGTCAATCCAAGAAACAATCAAGTGTGTGGAGTACAAGAACTGCGGACCGGGGCGGACACGAAGGGAAGAGTGAGGTGGGGAGGATTGAAGGTGGATGGGGAGGTGAATGGAGAGGAGGTGTGGAGGTTCACGGTAGCTGAGTTCATAGGCACAGTTGTGATCAAGGCCGTTGGGCTACCCTTCAAGGCAAGGCTATGTGCAAGGTTTAAAAAATCGATTTTTCTGATTGGAACCGACGATCCGGGTCCATTTCTTAAAACCTTGGCCCTCTCTCTTTCCGAGGGGTGTACCTTATTTAGGTAAGGTTGTGAGCAGGGTTTAAAAATCGGTGTTTCAGATTGGAACTGATGATCTGAGTCATGGATCTATTTTTTAAAACCTTAGCTATCTCTCTCAGAGGGTGTAACTCATTATCCCTATGTGTCGATTAGTTGGTTTATTGTGCTCTTTTCACTATGTAGATAGGTGCAGTGTTGAGTATTTTGGTAAACATTAGATTAATGTTTAATTCTTCAGTTTTAGGGATATAAGTGTTAATTTTATTGGGTTGTATAACTATAGATTAAAATTTAATATTGAGTTTCGAGTACACGAAAGTAACATACTTGTTCCTAATAGAAGCTATATGAATTCCTTTCTTTCTTTATGTGCCACTTTATATGTTCCAGTTTTGGGTTTATTTTGTCCCTTCCACTAGAGCATAGTAGGCATATAAGATGTACATGCTCTCAATATTTTCTTTTTAAGCTTTGCCATAATATCATGTAATAGGCTGTTTTATATGCTATTAGTAACATCACCGATTTATTTTAACAATGGATTGCTGATTTAAACTTTCCTACCATTAGAGTAGACTTTGACTGACTTGAACATCGGAATGTTATACATCAGCAGTTGTTCACAATGAAAGGGGGATAATCCCAAGTTCTATATGGATCTATTCGTCTTATATTGATACCTGTTGACATGCGACAATCACCATCAACATGTTTTCATACATGTCGGCTCATAGCACCTTCATTTCGGTTCCTATAACCTTCATTCAGCATGTTTTGATATTTTTAATAGAAGTGTCAGTATTTGTTTGGTCACAAAATGCTCAACAATCTTATGTAGTAAAGGAAACTTTATAGTATTTCTTTGGTGCCATTTTGATTACTTGCAAACTCTTTTTAAAATATTGCACCAATGAATTGATAAAAAGTGCTTTTGGTAAGAGTTTAACCCTCTTTGTTTTAGAGAGCACCGTCCCATCCATCATGGAGTCGTCGTTTAGGCTTGTTGTTAATAAACCTAGGTTTTGAATCAAAACTTCATTATGTCAAATCTTAGTTATGTAAAAACCTCTGATTACTCAAACCTGACTTGTTTGGATGGCTTTGAACGGTACTCAAGTTATGCAAATCTCATATTTGGATCATCTTTTTGTATAACATGATTTGCTATTAGGGATTGTTTGGTTTGCGTGGAAGTTTGATAGGAAAATATTTACATAAAAATATTTTCATATGCAAATACATCAAACTTGAAATTTTGAGATAGTTTCTCCCTATAAAAAAAATCTGATATAGTTTCACTCTAAAATTATAACAAAATTGTAAAAAAAATCAATACATATCACAATATTTGTAATTAAAAATATATAATAATGATATTCATGTAAAAAATCATATTTACTTTGTTATTAATTTATTAGTAATATGTTATAAGTACTAAAGACATCCTCAGATTATATTGGTTTCTTAATTCTTTTTTTTTTAATTGTAAACTTTAATATATAGTTATATTTAATATCACATGTAATTTTAATGAATTCGACTTTTGTAGACACCCCATTTTTTAATAAGGTAAATTTCATCATTTTTCTAACCTTAGACAACCCTCTGGACCACACTATTCCAGGAAATCCTAAATCACATAACAAAATAGTCCATGGTCCCCATCCTGTAATCCAGTATCCTAATAGACTCACCGATTTTAGAAATAATTAAGGAAAAATAGAAAAATAATGTACTTTAATCGAATATTTGGAAGATAACCATACAAAAGGGCATAAATAAAACCAAAATTGGAAATTTCAAATTTTGGTCAAATCTAGGCAGAACGACACACTATCCGCCCAATCCAAATTGACCAAATCACTTATTTAAAGCTAGCCTAATTCCAATCAAGTTCAATGGATGTGGACCATTTTGGGCTGGGTGACATGCCGCCCAAGCTCGGTCTTAGTCTAGGCGACTGTGCTGCCTTGCCTTTGACCCCAAAAACGTGTTTTCATGCTTTCAAATCCGCTCATTTATGGTAATTTGGCATTTCATGCGTTTTGTCTCAAGAAAAATGCACTTGACGACCACTTTAGGGTTAGGCGAGAAAAACCCTTATTGGTGAGCAAAAACCCTATAGCAGAGAAAACCCTAGACTATCAACCCACATCGGATGACAACCATCTTCAACCTTTAGGTCAGATCGATAACCCTAGTTCAACCAAGCCAAGGCTTGGTCAATTTTAAAGAGAGAAAGGAAGACGCAAGACGTTAACTCGGCCGCGGTCTTGATATGGGCGATGCCTCATGTGTCTCGAGCCAACTGGCCCGGTCATGTATCTTTCTCTTCACTTTTTTAGTTATTTTTTTCATTTCATTAGATTTAAGAGTATTTCCTTA